TAGTAATAATAAATTTTTTAATTTATTTGTTTATTTTTGAATGACGACGATAGCCATAAAGCTAGAAATCGCTCTGATTTAAAAATACCACTTTGGATTCTATGGATCGCAGAATGTTAAATTAAAGCTTCATTGCAGATCAGTGGAAGTAATGATGAAGCAGATTCAAGAAATGCGAAAACGACAGTTTCAGACAATATCATCAGAACAGAACGAGACGGTGAGGTGTCAAAGGTTATCTTGTTCGTTAATCACTGTTGTTCAATAGGTTGGTGACGTATCGCCTTTATAGGAAAGAAGAATTCGACAAGTGGTTCATTAAAACTGCCACGGATATGAGGAGACAAATGGAGGCACAAAGAGAAACGATGAGAGAGGAGATAAAAATCAATTTCGATTCGGTAAAGGTTAAGTGCATCGAAGACTACCTCGAGGTATGTGTTTTATATCCATAGGGTAGAAAGAGTTCAACGAATCAACGCCATTGCATCTATTATCTGTGTAATTGTTGTTGTTGTGGTGGTGCTGGTGGTGTGCTATCGTTCTCAAAGGTTAGCAGGTTAGCAGAGCGTAAACAGCATGTAACTCGCGTTTATGATGTCTGATAAAGAGTACAGGAAACGCCTGTCTGCATAGTGATAAATAGCGGTGACACAATGCAAAACTGTTCTATTTTGTGAACCAGTGGCGCACCACCACTCCACGCATCTCCATAATTAAGTCTTAATTCTAAAAATAGTCCGTGTTCTTTAAACGAAGTTTTCAAAAGGATCTATTAAATCCTTTTACGTTAAAGTTTGAACCAAATGACTTCATTTGGCGAAACAGAAAGATCGTAAAGCGGTTACGGTGGTACGTAGAAAAGGCAAGACTAACCGAAAGGAAGAAACTGAGGAAATTATACAGTACGCCTTCCGTGGGTCAGGATTATATTGTCAATGGAAGGAAGCCATGTCAACACGCGTTTTTCGTTAAAGACCTTTCTACGATCCTCTACAACCTTGCCCTAACACCAAAACATTTAAAATACATAAAACCGCGTGACCTAGACAACAAATTAGAAATAGTCATTCAAAAAATCAGAGCACAGCTACACCAGATTTGATCCTTGCTACAGACG